CTAAGTCTAAAAAACAGAATGTCTTCAGTTATTAGATTCATTCTGTAACTTTCAAGTGTCAGCACTCACAATTGTAGAGAGAACTCAGGTCCCTTCATGTCCCTTCAGTTTAAGGCTTGGTGCTGCCTTTCATTATTTCTAGCTTTGAGTCATAAAAGGAGATGCCTTTTCCTTACTTTGGGGAAGACTTGAATGGCCACATTAATTAGCTAATCAATGAATTGCTCATTTGCCCAGCCAAGCTCCTACTCTATACCAAGGTATAGAAGATGGATATTGCCAACCTCTCCCTTCCCCAGGAGAGGATCTTGAGAGGGTGGTGACAAAACCACATGAAATCAAAAAATATTTGCTATGTGCAAGTAAAGGTGACCAATTAGGTTAAATATGACAATATTAACAGTGGCAAAAAAGGTACGTATAAGGTGTAAATGTTTGGAGGCACAGACAATTCTAAATACTGGACCATCATTCAGAAAAGAATCCTCTATTCGGAGGGAAGGAAACAGGTCACATTCCTTCTAAAGTTTGAATATAGGGGGAGAAAATATTTTTACCTTCCCAGAACCTTTCAGAAGGCGAAGGTACCATGTGTTCCTTGTGAGAGACCATTTCCCTACCACAGAGACAGATATATGCTTGCAATAGGGCTATGGATGCCCCTTTCCAAGATTGTGGTGGCAAGACATCTACCCTGTCTTGGATTTTATTGTTTGTGGTTCCTTTTTTTTGAAGCTGGAATGAGAGAAAATGTTTATTTTGAAAAACAGCATCTTAGCTTGGTAGAATCAAGTGTGAACTAGTGCATTCATGCAAAATCTAGGGACTTTGATAAAGACAGATTTCTGTCCAGCTAATATACCCATATTGGCTCAATGTTTGAGAGAGTGGGTGCCCTCTGTTTTTTTAAGAGGTGAAATGAGGCAGCATTTTGTTTTGCAGCTGATATGATATGAGGCATTAGCATTAGCATTTTCTTTAAATTGTTGCAAACCTTCCTATGAGGAAGTCATTCTTATCTTTACACCACAATTGAGAAAACAGGAAGATGTGAGAAAAGATCTGCACTCTGGTTATCCTGAAAACCAACCTTACATCCCTTCACTTTGTATTTGGCCTTATTTTTAGTTTCTTGTTTTCACCATTCTTTTATTTTACAGCATTCACAATTTTAGGACAATGAAATTGTGTGCACTTCGTTGTAAAATACCCTATTTTTATGGTGATTGGAAATTTGTCTTTTTTCCTCCTACCTTCCTGTCTTTCTTTCTACTTTTCTTTCTTTCCCAGTTTGTTACTTTATTTAAAAAAATTACTAAAGGGATGGGGCAACAATACCTGAATGACAAAGTTAAAAATGTATATTAACACATTTTTGAAACCCAGAAAGTCATTTATAAGGCAATGTCCTAGATATCATATTATACAGTAAATATATACATATATGCATTCTTCTTCAATTTCAAAATATATAATAACTATAAGTTATTGTTTATTATTAAAAAGTGGTCATATAAAAATAAAAATCTCCCTCAACCTCTATTTTCCTCTCTAGAAGTGAGTCTTTTTAGCTATTATACTTCTAGATATTGTTATATTTTAATATGAATACAATCATACACTACTTAATGACTGGGGTATGTTCTGGGATATGCATCATTAGACTCTTTCTTCATGTGCGAACATCAGAGAATGAACTTACCCAAGCCTACATGGCACAGCCTACTACAAACCTAGGCTGCGTGGTGTAGTCTTATTGATCCTAGGCTACACCCCTGCACAGTGTGTCACTGCACTAAATACGGTAAGCAGCCACGGTATGTTAGCGTTTGTGTATTTAAACATATCTAAGCATAGAAAAGGCACAGTGAAAATGCCACACAAAAGATGAAAAATGGTACACCTGCATATGGCACATGTCATATGAGTCAATGAGTGAGTGGTCAGTAAATGTGAAGGCCTAGGATGTTCCTGTGCACTAGTGTGGGTTCTATAAACACTGCATACATAGGTTACATTAAAATGATTTAAATTTTTTATTCAATAATAAACTAACCTTATGTTTACTGTAACTTTTTAATTTTATAACTGGTCGATTTTTTTTGTTTTTTGACTTTTTTTGTAAAATCACTTAGCTTAAAATACACATTGTACAACTGCACAAAAATATTTTCTCTCATTATACTCATATTCTGTACATTTTTTCTATTTTTTTCCTAAATTTTTATTTTTGCTGAAACTAAGACACAAGTGCACACATTAATATAAGTCTACATGGGTCAGGGTCATCAATATCACTGCCTTCCCCCTCCACATCTTGTTCCACTGAAAAGTCTTCAGAGGCAATAACATACATGGAGTGATCATCTTCCATAGTAACAATGCCTTCTTCTGGAACACCACCTGAAGGACCTGCCTAAGGCTCTTCTTAAGAAGCTAGAACCACCATAGATGCAGTTGGTTGTTGACCAAAGGGTTGTTATGTGGCTCATGACTGTATACATTTCTACAGATAGAGAGTTTATCACCAAAATAAATGGAGTCATGCTATATATAATCTCATTATACATTATATTTTGCTTTTCATTTTTTGAAATTAATATTTTTTGGACAAAATTCCTGGTGATGATAAATTATATATATCATATATATCAAAGAGAGATAAATAGATATAGATAGACATGGATATATATACACATATATAGATATATACGTAGAGATAAATATATATATTTGTCTCAATGCAGTTATTGTTTCCAGTTCATACTGGCATCACTGTCTATTAAATCAAGTTTGTAACGTTAAATAATGTATATATATTATTTCTGAATATTATTTATTTCAATCAATGTTATAATGAAGATTTTTGATGATGTGCATTTACTGATTTTGGGTTAATAAATGCAGGGCAGATTCCTAGCTGTGAAATTAACAAGGCAAAGAGAAAAGCATGCAATTTAGCACTTTATGGAAGACAGATATTTCTTTTGTTAAGAAAACATGTACAATGTCAAGGAATATGTGTATTTAAAATAGGGACTTTTTTCTTTTTAAAGACCTCTCCAAAGACATTATTCCAATTTCAGCTCTTACCAAAAGTTTATGAATGTGCGTTTATTTCCCGCACTTTACAAACTCTGAATACGACCACACTTTTTGCTATTTACCTATCTGAAAATCTAATATCTTTATATTTGTGTTTTAATTGTCGTATCTTCTATTATCAATAAGAATATTTCTAATGTTTTAAGTCACTTGTTTGTAAATCATTTTCTCATGAACTGTTTCTTCAAGTAATTACCTATTTTTATTTTGTTACATCTTTTGTCAAGTTTTTGAAAAAAAAATACAGCTTTTCAGTTGTCTTGTTGAAATTTTCTACTGTAGTCATTATCTTGAGATTTCATTAGTAGTGTTTCCTAGAGTGCAGAATTTTTAAATATGCAATCATATTTATCCATATTTTATTCAACTTTTGAGAATTGTAGCTTGGTTTGTAAAGTTTACTTAAAAGCAGGATGACTAATAAAAAAAGAGAGAGAGAAGTAGTATGCTTTCTTATAGTAACTGTATTTTTTAAATGTTTAAATATATAATCTGTAATTTGTTTTGGTGTTAGAGATAAAGAAGGGATTCATATTCCCTTCCTCCCTTACAAATGCCTTGATAGCTGTCATGTTTTAATTATATTTTCAAAGACTGCTTAAATATATGTTAAGATAGTTTATCTCCGTTAGGCTTTTTTTTTTTTTTTCAGAGTTTCTCTGCCTAGACACACTGGCTGATGTTCCTATTCTGTGTTCACATAACACTACAGCCTTATGAAGCATTCACAGAAGCCTTTATATATTTACCAAAGTTTTATATAGTTCATATATTTATAGTTATTTTTAAAATATCAAAGCATGCTTATTAGATATGAAAAGTACATTTTATTGTTAACATCTTAAATGTAAAAGCTACAAAAAATGTAAAATGAAATTGCCAAGATCTCAAAATTGTTCTCGTTGGCTTGTCATAGAAGAGTTTGGAGCCATAACCTAAATTATGTACTCATTCCTATTATTACATTTTTATTTGTATAAATATAAGGGTACAAGCGAAATTTTGTTACATGCATATAGTGTATAGTAGTGAAGTCTTAGCTTTGAGTGTATCTATCACCTGAATATGAAGATGTACTGAGTGTGTCTCTGTCCTTATGTCTGTAAGACTTGTGGTTTATCTCACCAAAAAGTTTTGCTTTGATGTGATACAATGTCGGAACTGGAATCTGATAGAGGATTCTGCATATATGTTTGAATTAGCACACTGCAATTATATTATCTGTTACAAAATTGTTTTGATCTATTTTTTTCCTCAAGCAATATATATTACTTTGAAATTTAAAAAAATACTCTATTTCTTCAATACTGGCCATAATTAAGAGATTTTATATGTGTTTTGCTTTGATAATATTCTTTATTTTCTCTCATACATTATTTATCTACACAGGGTAATTAAAAATTACCTCAAAAATAATAACCAAAGAAATGTAGTGTTCTTTTGAGATCAAGAGTAGATAAGGTAATCTCTTAAAATGGATATTTACTAAGTACTCTTAATAGATTATTTGGGGGCTCCATTTTGGGTCTTTAAGGTTTTTGGTAGCAGCTTAGGATCTCAAGTTTCTGGAACAGTTAATGATTGGGCCATGGCAGGATTTATCTTTCATTTCATTGAGTTTAAAGGCAATGCCAGCAGTGGTTAAGGATGAGTACTCTCAGCCTGGATTCAAAGTCAGCTCCGTTACTTTCTACATATAAGAATTTGCTTAATACATGTGTACATGTTTCAGTTTTCTTTTTCTGTAGGTGGGGACATAATAATGATAGTGCCAAATCTATATTATTGTTGTTGTGGCTAAATGAGTAAATATATGTAAAGAGCATAGGTGAGTGCGTGGCTTATGGTAAGTGCTCCCTTAATATTGGCTGTTAGTATGATTAGTGTCAATATTTCTGTTCAGATGCAGTAGAGATGGACAGAACTAATGACAGCACAAAAAACCATTTCATCCTTTTGGGATTTTCTGACCGCCCCCATCTGGAGAGCATCCTCTTTGTGGTCATCTTGATAGCCTACCTCCTAACCCTAGTGGGCAACACCACCATCATCCTTGTGTCTCGGCTGGACCCCCAGCTCCACACCCCCATGTACTTCTTTCTCACCCACCTCTCCTTCCTGGATCTCAGCTTCACCACCAGCTCCATCCCCCAGCTGCTCTACAACCTCAGTGGACGTGACAAGACCATCAGCTATATGGGCTGTGCCATCCAGCTCTTTCTGTTCCTGGGCCTGGGTGGGGTGGAATGCCTGCTCCTGGCTGTCATGGCATATGACCGGTTTGTAGCTGTCTGCAAGCCCCTACACTACATAGCGATCATGAATCCCAGGATTTGCTGGAGCCTGGTGTCAGTGGCTTGGAGCTGTGGGGTGGCCAATTCCTTGGCCATGTCTCCAGTGACCCTACATCTACCCCGCTGTGGGTACCACAAGGTGGACCACTTCCTGTGTGAGATGCCAGCCTTGATCCGCATGGCCTGCGTCAACACTGTGGCTGTCGAAGGCACTGTCTTTGTCCTGGCAGTGGGCATTGTGCTGTCCCCCTTGGTGTTCATCCTGGTCTCTTATGGCTACATCGTGAGGACTGTGTTACAAATCCAGTCAACATCAGGGAGGCAAAAGGTCTTCAACACCTGTGGCTCCCATCTCACTGTGGTTTCACTCTTCTATGGAAACATCATCTACATGTACATGCAGCCAGGAAACAGCTCTTCCCAGGACCAGGGCAAGTTCCTCACCCTCTTTTACAACATCGTCACCCCGCTCCTGAACCCCTTGATCTACACTCTCAGAAACAAAGAGGTGAAAGGAGCACTCAGAAGACTGTTGCTTGGGAACAGAGAGGTAGGAAAGGAGTAAGGACATCTCCAGCCTGACTGTCCACATCTGCTCCATGCAGGGCTGTTGGCGGCATGTGGAGCTACTAGGCCACATCTGGTCCTAGCCTGGGACTCTTGACTTCTTTGCCTTTTCCTGGGCTTCCATAAAGCTGTTTCAGTTCCAGCAGTAAATGTTTATGAGCGAATGGTGTAACACCTAACATTCCCAAGCCCTTCTAAAAGATCAATAAAGTAGATGTAAACAACAACATGAGATAAATTGTTGTAAAGATCAGTTCCCACCAACTTATACCAGAGTGCCAAGTAGGAAAAAGCTCTTCTTAATCAGATCTTGTTTTTGTTATTGTTTTTTTTAAAAAAACTCTTTAAAAGCATTGGTGGTGTCTTAGTCAGAATTACCCCAAATTTATCACTGCTGTTGACACGGACCAAGTTCATGGAATTTAACACAGTTGAAGTTTTTATTTTCCAAACTCCCATCAAACTTTTTCACCAATTCATAGAGATTTTTCTATCTGTCTCCAAAAACTGGTGTAAGATTCTGTATAAGTTATAAAGTTAACCTGTAAGTAATGAGACATGGGTCATTTAAATCTTAAAGCATCTTGTTTCTCAGGTATGTTTTTATTATATTGGTAGGGAAGACCTGATGCTTAAGTTCCTGCTTCGTGCCAGCTGCTCTTATTCATCTAATCCTCTCAGCTTTTGTGGGAGGTCAGCATGGTTATTATTATCCCCATTTGACCCACTTGGTTCTTGAGACTTGAGGGTTAAATCATTTGCTCAAAGAGAACTTAACCAGGATTTACTTTATGTTCTGTCTGACTTCCAATTTTTGCTGTTCCTGTTGTGTGTCATGGAGTTTCAAAAAGCAAAAATTCTTCATCAATTCGACAAGCAGTATCATAGACCTTAGTGGTTAAAGAGCATGGCTAGCTCCTGTTTCTCACATAATGCCGTCAACACCTTCTTCAACTAATACGTGCACAGATTCCCTAGGGTCTTGTTAAAATGTGGATTCTGGTTCTGTAGGAGAGGAGAGGGGCCCAATACTCTGCATTTCTGTATAACTCCCGGGTAATGCTCTCACTCTTGCGATTCAGACCACATTTTAAGGACTTAAAAATACATTACCCACTGTTGTCTTTCCAGGTTTTAAGGGGGCAGACATATTCTGGAGGAAGCTGAGATAGCATTTGTAGACCAAACAGGGCAGGTCAACTAGTTTAGGTATGGGGGAATGGAAAAATGACTTAGCAGGCTAAGAATCTCCTTGTGTCTTATAACTGACATGAAACTGACACAATATCCCCTGATCTATAACTGAGATGAAATTGACCCAGAAAAGCTAGATAAAAGCCAGTACTCCCTGCCCACCAGAGCACCTCCATCTTGGATATCACAGCACTCTCCCCACCAATGTGTACTTTCTGTTTATAATAAAGTACGTTCCTTGTCATCCTTGAATTCTTTCCTGCCACAGAGTCAAGAGCCTGGTCCCAGTTTGGGTAGATAATTGTACCTCTCAGGAAGACACTTCCCACTCTCCAAAGGATCAACCAACAGTGCTAGGCCTCACTGGGAATGCTGTGTCTCTCCCACTGAGTGATCTTCCCCAAGTCCACTGTCTTCACAAGGGGAAATGAAAAGTGGGAGGGGGTGATGTGGAAAGCCTGGCTAAGGACAGTACTCACTTCTCTGCCTTCACGTGGGCTCTCAGTCCCCTCAGCTACACAGACTCTCCTTCTCAGTAGTCCTGCCCTGCTGCCCTCTCTTTCTAACTTCTGGCCTCCACATCTCACCTCCAAGGTCACCAGCCCCAGGAGGGCATTTTAGTGTAAACAAACCAGAGCCCACTGAAAAGGGGATTCCTGTGCATCTAGGGACCCTAGTCTCAACATTCACAACTGCTGTTCTAAAGAAGTAGTGATGTGGATAGGTTTGTGGTGAATGAAAAACGAGGGTTATCATGTGATAGTTGGGATTTACTCCCAATTCTACAACTTCGTAAATTATATGTTAAATAAAAAGCTATTCAATGACACCTGTTAAAGTGTGGTAAGGAAGGTATATTTAGGACCATTGAGACAAATGTAGGGACCATGCAACAGGGTCTTGTAGGGAGAAGAGAGACTGGGCTAAACTCTGAATACAGCATAGTCAAGTGAGAATTTATAACCAGGGAACAGTGTGGAGTTGGTGGTTGGAAATTTATTAAGAGAAAACATTAGGAAAGAGGGAGATTCTGACTAAACCAACCTAATGGAGATTCCTGATGATGACAGAATTCCTGCTGAAGACCAGATATCACCCCGGGGATGGTGGAGGATAAGGAATCCTGATCAGATATCCAGTATGATCAGATATTGAGAATGAGATGTTCTTGCTAAACTGAGTCAGCAGGGGTTTTTTGTTTGTTTGTTTTATTTGTTGGAGCTGAATTATACAAAGAAAAGTAAAAATGGGCCTAAGAAAAGGTTCAGAAGGCTAACTAAAGTTTGGCCAAGCAAAGAATCTTTGTCAGGTGTTGAATAATCTAAAAGGAAGTTTAGGCATGTGTGCGTTGAGTAATTTTACTCAGCAGTAGATAAATAATTCTCCATTCATCTAATAAAGAAGTATGCCAGTGTCCCAGGGATTTAGAAAGAACCCACTAGATGTTCTGAGTGAATTCATGGAGCATGCCTGGGGGGTTCTGAAGTTTCTGGGGTTCCTGCAGGGAAAACAAATTAAGTTTGCCTAATTCTAAGGAATGAAAATGGTTGGTTTGTACAATGCTGAGTGATTTTTATTGTGTTTCCTCTGATCATCTCATCACATAGAGTCACCAATAGGGATAATTTATGTGGAATTGTGCAAGATGCTCAACTCATGACATCTGAGTCAAGGTAAGGTCGGTTTCCTTGGAGTCTGTGCTCATAGAAAACAGTGGTAGGTGAGATATCTCCCACTCTTTTGTGCTATGGCAAGTGCTACCTGCAAAGAAAGATACCTTCCCACATGATTCAGATAAGTCAACTCTATACTCTTCCTCAGACTCCTGTAAAACTTGAATGACATCTTGTAGAAGTGCAGGTAATTGAAAAGAAAGCAACTGATGGCAACTCTGCCTGTGGATTTTTCAGTATCCTTGTAAAGATAAACCACCACTACCTCCATGTTGGAGGAGTCAAAGTGGTCTCTAGGCTGCCAGGCTGATTCCCTTGGGACCTGGTACCAGCTACCCAGCAGTGACCTCCACTGTTAGCACGTGGGACATGCAGACATTGCAGTCACCAGTTCACCCTTGGTGTGGGGAAACCTTTTCATTAAGCATCTGATCTCCACTGACTCCATGGCCTCTTTATACCTGAGTCCATGGAACAAGTGATACAGGGGCTGTGAGAGAGCAACTGACATCCACAGGAACATTCTTCTGCTCTCAACTTATCATGAGCAGTTAGTGTAACTCTATCAATGACAATATAAATTTGGCACTCTTATTATTCACCACTCACAGGAAATTAAAGTGAGGCACTTTTGTGTTGAGTAAACTGCCATATGTAGAAAAGAAGCAGAGCTGGTATGTAAACATGGAACCTTTAAAATGTCCTTGTTCCGTTCCTTTGGTTCTGGGAATGTTGTTGAGGAGCTGTCATTGAAGAGGAATCATATTGTATCAGAAATGGGAGATGCAGGATACCATGCCAGGACAAGTAGCCTGGGAGCTGGGCATGTGTGCTCATTAGAAGGCTAAATCTGTGTTTGCCCATGGAGACCTCTGACAAATAAGCTGACCTAGACAGGTTAGTAATGAAGTATCTGGGCCATCTAAGGAGTCCATATCACACTTGTAAAACCAATAAAGCCTATGTTGAGTAAACAGGAATATTGGACTTAGGACAACTAAAAGGATGTCACAGTCTTTCATGCAATTTTTGTTGCTAGATAAGGAGAATCAGAATAAAATTGAAGACAGGTCCCATAATATTCTAGATTTGTACTAGAGATCTTGTACCTGACTTTACCCAAGAGATAATTCGAATCATTTACACAGATAACTATGCACTAGAGAAAAGGAAGTGCATACTTTGGTAGGCTAATGAATGCTAACACAGATAAATCATTAATTAGTGGCTTCTTATGGGCATTATGTGTCAAACAGTTTTATTTCAAATAGCCAAACCCAAATGACACAGTATTGTAGACCCATAGTTATTCTTACAGCCCAGAGAAAATAATTGAAATACTCAGAAACTGGTGAAATGTCGACATTGACTTCCTGGTCCTTAGAATAGAGTAGGACGGTCAAAAGGCTAAGCAATACTGTCACGTGAAGGAAATAAAAATGATGAGTGCTTTATCCCATAGTTTAAAGATGTGGGAGTGGAGATAACTAAAATAACACCACTTATTTTTTTTTTTTTTACTTTTTCTAATGCAGAATAGCTCTTAGACTTGCAGTGTATTATCTGCAATTAAGTAGATGGTGATACCTGTTACAACTCCTGTCCAATATGTAGTCTTAGTGGAATAAACCATTATTTGTCCTTAATATTCTTCATTTTCCAATGAGGATTTAGTTCAAATGTTATATAATCAAAGGTTGATCATAAGTGTGACAATGAAGTAGAAACAGCTAAAACTCAATCCAGCTTTGACAATGAAGCATTGATGTTGGTATCTCCATGGAAGATATCTGTCAATAGGTACAAAGTTAAAGTTAGAAAAGTAAGTTCTGGTGTTTTAGTGCACAATAAGGTGACAATAATAAAAAAAAAGTATTGTATATTTCAAAATAATTAAAAGAGAGGATTTTTGCTTTTCTTACTACAAAGAAATGGTAAATGGATGAGGTGATGGATTTTCTAATTACACTAATTTAATCATTACACAATATATACATGCATTGAAACATCACACTGTGCCTCATTGGTATGTACAGTTATTATGAGTCAATGAAAAATAAAATAAATTAAATGATAATGAAGGAAGATGTGGATTATGGAAACTGGAGATCTAACACAACTGGAAGAGATTAATTTGGGGAATAATAGATGTCAATTTTGCATCAGATATAGAAGACAACCAGAT